TGAAAAAATAACTGATTTTTAACTAACCTTCTTTCATTTTTTAGTTAATTTGTAACTTTTACAATTTAAAAAAAGTAACTTTACTTTAAACTTAACTTACATTTTTTTATATTAACTTAACTGAACAAGTAAAAAAAAGCTAACTTTCCCAGATCAAAAAAAGGGGGGGGGGGTGTTATTCAAAATAAATGAGCAAAATTATACACATAAAATTAATAACATTACGTACTTTATTGTACAATCATAAAAACACATTACAATTAAGTAGATAATGTTAAAATATTTTATTAAAATTTAATGATTAATTATTTCCTATTTCATTTATTAATTGTCTTGTAACAAAGATTATAATATATTATGTATTTTATTAGGCATTTTCTAAGTTTTGTCCCTTAGTAATGTACTATTAAAATGTAGGTACTATTGCTGATACATTTTTACTGTTTATTTTGTTTTATTATTTTAAAAAGAGTTTTTTTACCCGAGAAACTTAAAATATATACTATTTGTGAAAGTGGTCCGACCTTATCTTAGCGATTGCTTCCCCCACCTTTCATGTAACAACCAGACAAGTCAATATTTTCAAAGGTGAAAATTTTCCATTAAATAAAAATAACGATTAGTTATCAATATAAATAATATGTGACATAGCGTTCTGGCTTCGATTGAAATGGCAGATTGTTTAGTAGCATCTTCCAGTTAGCAGCGATTTACTTGGTTTATTAAATTTTATATCTGTGAACAAATCAAAATATTTTCTCTTAAGTTATCATACATTCTGTTAAGTACCTATTTGCTTACAACAAAATAAGAATTACCATCAAATGTATTAACTAATATCGGCAATAACTCGTTTTTTCACCCATTTCTTTTAACTGCTTTTCACCGACCGGCAGAATTCTCCGGACTTTGGAGATATCATAATAATGACCTGGCAGGCGCAGGAACATTTATGTATATAATAAACATACATAAAATTGAACACACTAAGCTAAATCATTTATTTCTCACATTGAAAGTAGAACCTTCCAACTGTTGCAGAAGACTTACTGACAAACATATTTTAAAGTATATATAGTATCATGTGTACAAACAAGAGAAAATAAATTTGAATTTGACTGAAACTTTCGATGCAACCCTTATTGGACCAAAACCGGAGTAAAACAAGAAACTCCTAAAATTCTTAAAATTAATCAATGTAATTGACAAAATTCAAATTCAATTGATAAACCGATGTAAGTTATATACTCTACACTTGTCTAGATCTCAACATGAATAGAGTATAGTGTAGTATAATTACTTATTTCACAATCAAAGTGTAATTTTATATCCTATGGTTTATTAAATGTAATTAAATCTGTTTTATTTTTTACCAAATGATTTAGATTATGTAAGAATTGTGTTATATTTTGAATTTATTACTTTTAAAAGCCAATTTGACACTAATTGTTTTGTATTTTATCTTATATAGAAATTAATATTTGGCATGAGCCGTGGATGTTTAATAGAAAATGTATCCTATTGTGTTTTAATTATGTGATATATTAGTTTGAATGCAAAAAATTATAAACATAAATTATATACAATATTAAATAAATGAATAGTATTTAATTCTTCACGGAATGAACCATTGTTGAACATTTCGATTTCAGAATATCATCAACATCACCATTGGATCTAAAATTAAAATAATTTTGAATCAGCAATATGCAAGTCATAATAAATATTATTAATACAGTTAAGAAAATGTCAGCAATATTTTTTTTGAGATATTGGTATAATTAAATTTGTATAAATAAGCTTAAAATTGTGTTATTTTTGTGATCATATTATAAAGTTTGAGATTAAAATACTGCATAAAAGAGTTGAATGTGGTTTGTTGAAAACCACAATCAATTTGTTAAAAAAAATTATCAAATTTAGTAGCTTCTATACATAATTTTATCATTATTCTCATAAAGCTAATTTTTGTGGACAAAATTACAATGGCACACGCACAGTGGCAATGTTTAATTTAAAAAATAAACAACATAGAGCCTAAAGAGTAAAGACTAAGCTCAAGCCTATAATAAATAATAATGAGCTCTTTTTAGGAAATTAACATAATTCATACACTGTTTAAGTGAGTTAATTTGTACAATTTTTTATAAGTTATCATTAGTTATTATTTGCAACTAATTTATTGTATTATAAAATCTAAATTAAAAATATTAAAATATTAAGTATAAATAATCAAATCTAAAATTTCCTAGCTTAGGTACTTATTTGATATATACCTACTGTATATATTATGTAAGTAGACTTTATACTGATAGAACAAAACACATAACTAGGGCTCAGATTTATATGTATTAAAAAAACCAAAATATGTAAATATATCAAATATATGTGTAATAAAAAATCCCTGTATATGTGATAAAAAATTAAAATATGGAATATTAAAAAATAAAAAATAAATATTGAAAATCGCTTTATAAATGACATTAATATCTAGTTTATTTATTTTACTTTAACATTATTAATCTTGATGTTGATCTTGGAAGCAATGAGATACCATATACATTCTCAAATTTTCAAAATTAAATAATCTAAGGTTTGGTCGTAACACAGATTTGTACCAACTAAAGAAGCGCTCGACTTCCACCAAGGTAATGGGTGCGAATTTCATGTTTGCAATGTCCAAAGGAGTAAGTTCAGTCGGTTATATTACCCCATTAAATTCGCAATGTGTATCTGTAATTAATTTTAGGTAGCTAAACCTGGATTTTTATGTAATACACTGAGCATTTATTCTTTTACTGCAACATCCCTTGTACTTGTATTCTATGCATTTTCAACTTCTTCTATTAGTCCTAAACTTTGAAATAAAGTCATTTTTCTTGTATCTACGTATACCTAGTTCAAACACAAACACTTACCTATTAATAAATCGCTATCTATTATTTATTTAAGTCGTAAATGTCGAACATAATATGATAATTGGTATTATTTTGTTTACGTATTTTTGGAAACATGGTAAATTGTCTGTATTGAAAAATATAATAGTATATAATTATTAATAAATTGTAAATGAACAAATTATCGAAATATGTAGAAAATAATGGAACTATTGAGAAATATGTAAAAATATGTAAAATAAAATGACGTTCATTACATTGGAAATCGCTTGAAACGAATTTATCACTTACCTTAATTAATTTATCAAGTCACAATAAAAATATGTATTTACACATAAATCCTAGACATAATATTTTGGAAAAGTTATTAAGTTATAGTGCCAAGTATATTTTCTTTCTTAAAAATCCATTTACATTTCATCATACTATGCATTAGGGCAATGATTTCAAATATTAATTATTACTCATAACCTATTATTTTTTGAAATGGTTGATATAATTAACAATATTCATAAGGGGGAAATCGCTTTAATGTTTTTACACGTCAATTTTGAATTTTTTTTACTGATTGTAGTGTAAACATCTTTGACTTTGTAATGTCGTTCAAAAATTATTTGTTCATTATGCTTACATACTATGAATATCTACAAGTATTAATTATAATTATGTAAATCAAATACGTTAAACTTTTCATACTACCCTGCTAGGTTCTTCTGTAATTATATTGTTTGAATTACTTATGTTGAGGTTTACCAGCTTGTTGAAATCTCTGAAGTAGGTATTACTGCTTCATAATCCTAATAAGAATAAGAAAATTGTATTTTGCTTATAAAAACTATAGTTATGGTATGTTACGCTATAGTATGGTTTGAAAAATTATTTTTGTAGAAGATGTAGTTTTTTAAATATTTTTAGTTTTGTTTTTTTTTCGAGTTCTTGCTGTCTAAGCATCACATTAACACGGACTCTTATGGTTGCAAGAATAAATAAACATTCTTTCTTTAAATGCTTAGTTTTTTCTGTACAAAAAATGATTGAAATGGTAAATATTAATAGTATGCATGAATAATTAGAAATTATTATCGTCTTCTCAGTAGTCAACTGTGTAATCCCAATTGTTACATAAATATGCAAATATTTCAAATCTGAATGAATATTTAAAAAGATGCTTTATAATATGAACTCTATAACAAGTAAATACTATCTACTTTCAGAATATACTTAGTTATGAGCGTGTTACAAACTTACAATTTGGTATTTACAATTTAATATGATAAGTAATTAATAATTATGACAATTTACCAAAAGACAAAAACCAAAATGTAGTTTTTTATTTTGTTATCAGTTTTGTTGTCAGTTGTTTTCAAGAAGGCAGCGATGCAGACCGGTTTGCTGCCTGTGTCACTTGTCTTAAAATGCGATTTAGTCCTATTTATTTATATTGTAAACCGGGTTTATTCACGACAGCTGTGATAACTGTGCAAACAGCGTAGATATTAAACTTATGGATATGGCATTCCTTTATGCATTCTACATACACTGTTTAGGCCAACATAACGGAGAGAGAAACGATGGTTCTCACTCGCACACATCTTCTGTGTGACAAGGAAAGTAAAACTATTGTAAGAGAGAGAAAACATAATAACTACAGATAATTGATAAGACATTATTTATGTTAGCTTACAGATTTTTGTGTTATGCCGCATCCATTAGTTTAATATCAATGGCAAACAGTCGTTTTGTCCCCTTCAATTGTTAAGCTGGGACAATTTGCCCCAGGGAGTTATAGACCTATCTCCTTTATTTTAATATGGTATTGTCATTTTAAATTTAAAATAAAAAGAGATTGAAATATCGAAAAATAAATAATTATGCAAATGCCTTTGAATTCTATTTTAATATAGTTAATTACTAATTTAAATTGTATTATTTTTATTTTTGACCAAACGTCGTATCTTATAATTGTCGAGGACGAAACATCCGCGATTCCTATGATTTATGTTTATACTCCTTGACATAGGTACAAGCTCCTTGCGACGCCGAGTTCCACCTTGGCATTTTTCTCGTCCCGCGACGTGTACAACGTCGCCATTGCGTCGTGCGGATAACACGATTTCTCCGCTCTCAGACTACCTTTTATTTGTCGTGTGACGCTTGAATTGTCTCAGAATCAACCGACCTAAAAATAATAATGTAAGTATTACACGTGCTAGAAACTGTGGATTTGTTTTTACTTGTTATTGACATGGAAATATTACATTGTGGTTTTAAAATTATTGATATTTCAGAATAATGTAAGGAGATATTACAGTCTGTAGATTACTCTCGTTTATATCCCGCTTGTCATCTTCTAAGGTCAACTCTTTTTAAGGCTGGCAGCCTTAAACGATTACTCGGAACATTGCTAAAACCATACCTGCAGTCGAACGATGGACGATCAAATTCCCGATTCATCTTACGAGTTCACCCATAATGTTAATAACGAGTGAGTACCGTCTTACTGGGTGCATATTAACTTGAAAGTTACGGCCCGATATCATAATATCCAGTGTGTATGTAGACACTAGAAAAATGTTTCAATCACATTAAATCGCTTTACCTTAATGTCAGAAACAATATTTTATGAAAACTATAAGCCTGCATTATGATGGAAGAGTATCATTAAGTATTTAATGCTCTTTATATTATCCCACACAGAACATAATGTATTTATTCAATATTTTTAATGAATATTTAAAAAAAATTAAATACTATGTAAATGTTAAATTTCCATTGGTCATACATAAGTTATTAAATATTAATTTAATTATAATAAACATTGTTTGAACCATTTTGCATCTTACGATTAATATTTGAAACTTACATTGAATAAATATTTTTTATTAACGTTTATTTAAAATGTAATTAATGTTTAGTTTCTATAGTTTATGGATTTAAAAATATTTAAAAATACATAATAAATATTGTTTGAACCCTTTTACAACAATAATTGTTAAAATTGGATATTAAATTAATATCAGATACCAACATTTCATAAATTAATTTTCATTAGTAAATATTTAAAAATATATTATGATAAGGATCTATGTAACAAGATAATTTAACACAAAAAAAAAATATAATAATATAAATATAAACATAAAAATAAACAACAGAATAAGCTATCATGGCTTTATATTTTTTGTAATTTACCTACATTAAAAATTCATATATTACCCATAGTATTGACAGATACATCATATTTTTATATATACTATAGGTATGTAAGTAATTAACATTATAATATAAATTAACATTAAAAAAAAAACAAAGTATTTACTAATCACAGGAATCATTATCTAATATCTATTTTTCCATTCAAATTTTAATTTAATTTAGATTCATTAAATTGGATAAATTCTTGATAGCTGTTGATTACTTGCTACTTAGGTTTCTCAATATGATTCTAAACCATTTTTTTTTTTAAATTTCATGTAATTTTCAAAAGGAAAACATGAGCACTTAACTAGGGAACCAAATATAAATCTATTTTATAATGTGAATAGTATAGTTTAGTTTTTAATATTCTGGATATTAGGTTCGGGTTGAATGTAGGTACTAACAATGTATATTCAGAAAATATTTTTATTTTTATTTTGTATTTTATTGCTGCTTGTTTTAATCCAGTAACATACATGTTATTTATTGTTACTATTAATTATATGATTTTGACCGCTCGCATTGTAACTGCTACTGACATTTTATTCTCCTAGTATGCCATAAAGATTAGGAGACCTTTGTCTTAAGCGCCCTACTATTTATATCTCTATTGCCGTGGTTTAATGGTAATACAGATTCTTTTACTGCATTAATTATTTTTCGATCCTGTATTTATTCATTGGTCGACCAATTCTATACAATATAATACAAAATGAAGAATCTGTTATTTTTTTTTAAATTTCTAAATTTTTTTAAGTAATTGCTGAAAGTGTATTGTGCAATAAATGTAGTAGTAAAATTAAGTATTACATAAAAAATAAAATAATTTTTATGTTTATAATTTTGATGATAATGAAGCAAAAATGAGACAAAGATGAGCATTAGTAATATTTAAGAATGTTGATTAGTATAAAATTTATTAATAAGAATTTTTATTCGTGATTAAAACCAATTTTAGGTGGTCCACTTATACAAGAATATGATGTCTAAAATTGAAATACAGTTGTAAAAACGGTAGAGCACATACTGCAGTCACAATGTTGTCGGTAGAGCGCATACGACAAGATAGCCGATAATTTTAGTAATTGAAAAACTTAATCTCATTCTGAAACATATTTCATATTCAGCCTTCAGAGTTTTGTACTAACGTATGTACCTTTAAACGGTATAACTATTGTACAATTCTTTCAAATGTTTTATCAATGAATTTAAATTATTAACATTTCTTTTGTAAATAATAACATATAATTCACTTAAATATCACAGATTTTTTAAATTTAACTTTTAAATGGAGTTTTGCTCATTTTAAAATGTACTAGTATTAAACTGAATATATAAAAAATAACTACTAGAAAATTTGATAATACGACAAATTCTGCTATATTATTCATTTGAGACAGCCTGTGGCGGATAGGTCTATTTTTTGTAACAGGAAACCAAATTCAAGAGCCCCGAAAATTGTATACTTGTTTCATTCACATTACATTTATAAAATATGTTTATATTCTATCTCTCATTTTATTATATTTAAATATGAAACTATACAACATTTTGAGAACATTTTTCATGGTCTATATAATTGTATTCTGTAAAGAATAAAATGTTATAAATTAACTGAAGGTATTACTACCAATTCTTTTATAGTTTAAGCATATATACATTACCTTCTCCATCTGACTCTATTTTAATATTTTCCTCATATTGATCACATACTCAATCTCTTTTTAATTTTTGTCAAGTCATTATACATTTAAAAAAAATGATACATGAGATATATTTGGCTTAAATGGATACTTTTTAGTGAATACGCTGGTAAAGGTTGGTCAATACAAAATTATATTATATTAAGCATATAAATATGTTTCTTTTTCAAAACGTACTAATTTATATATTGGATGACTGAGTCAAATATAATATTATGCACATTTACTGTATGAATGCAATGGATCATTGATTGGGTTATCAGTTGATTCATACGTAAATTCTCTTAAATTTTCGATTTTCTGGATAAAAGTGTTTTCTACTTTCTCTCCATGACTTTTTCAAACCATTAAGAGTTTGGGTTCCAATTCTGTGGACAGAAGCAAAATAGCCACAAATTGCTAAGGTATTTAGATAAGGATGTAATTTTTGTAGAAATCTTAGATACTTTTGTGCTATTAAAATTGTTTCATCTTTACACAGTCCTTCCATAAAACCCTTAGCATTAATACATACCCATGTTAAATATTTAATATTTGTCCTACTCCAACTGCATGTTATGCATATTATATGTACTGTGTAGTGTGAATGTCATTTTTTATTAATGTAAGATAAAAATTAATTACTTAATTATTTATAAACCAATAAAATTAAATAGTTTCTAATTGTATATAGTTCAATATTGTTATTGTAGTATTAAAATCATATCAATCATATCATAATCAATATAAAATACAGAGTTGTGAAACAGAGTGGGGTGGGAGGTTCTAATTAATTACACTTTTAAATATTTTAGATATTTCAATGATTAAAAAATATAAGTATTTTCAATTGTACCATTGTTTAGTACTATATTTGACCAACCCACTCAAATCATCCAGATAAAATATCAGAGTGATATTTGGATTTTTGATGAATACAAAAATTAAAAGACAAAAACACAAAACATCCCTTTACTTCAATGTTTAGGACTATACTCAAAATTTTGAGTATGTACATAGAATCTAATTGCCAACAAATTCCAGATTAAGGTTGAATTAAATTAGATTTTTTTTATTAATTTCTAAATTCTCAAAACTATATAAAGCAATAATTCTTGTAACATGTATAGTTATAAACTGTCGTTTTTATTTTTAGTTTGAAATATTTATTGAAATTTAAAAACTAATGAAAAAGAAAAAAATCTTTGGCCATTTATGAACCACTGTTAAGTATAAAATTTTAACTAATATTATAAATTAATTATTTTTCAGGAATTATACAATACATGATTGAACTTGGAAATCACTTTTAATTTCAACACCAATCATAAATTCAAACTTAAATTAAGCCAAAGTAAGAATAAATTGTATTAGCTATTTTTAAATGTATCAATATTAACATAATAATGGATGTATGTTTTGTTTGTGTTCTTAAGGTTCTGTCAAATCATTTATCTATGAGAAAAATTGTTCGGAAGTAGTACTGCATTTCAGACTACTATGGTGCAGCAGCAAACTCCACAAAAATCAGTTGATGACTTGGAGCACATAGTTGGAAATTTAGAGAACAATTACTCATTTTTAAAAACAAATAGATGAACTTTACGGAAATATTGACAATATGTGTCAATAAAATGACAAGATCAGTTACTATTGGAACTGTATTGGACAATTACTTAAAGCTATTGAAAATGCCTGGAATTTATACAAAGTTACATAAAAACATAAAAGCTCCTATTTTGAAATGCATTTAAGTAAACCATGACAGATAGTTGTATTCAATAGTAAGCTTTGTAAGTAGAGAGGTTTTAAGAACACTTTTAGTTGAGAAATTCACGGCTAATAAAGTTCTTCAATTAATAATGAATAGATTAATAACAGGAAATACGAGAAAATCTACTATTATTATAACTGGCAAACCTTTTGGTACAGAACATGATATCATTGCTTATGAAACTCTAGATAGTTTAATCCGTATTTGTTAAATTTCACTTGTAATGTATTAGCTAATTATCTACTTGACAATAATCATATTGAATTAATAAAGCTTGCTGATGATCCAGTGGAAACAATAACTTTAATGGATACTGTGTACCAAGTTCCTAGAAATTGTAACTGAATCATAACTTAAGATAAAATTCAAGTTTATCCTCAACCTTCATATAGAGTCTACCCTTTTCAAAGTGCTACTGAACCAGTTCTCTAGTAAAGTGATATTTTTGTTGCTATTCATAATTCGAAAATTTGTTAAAAGAGGGTTGGATATGAGAAAACTTGAATACTCTAAGCACAGAATTAAAAAATATTGAAAAGTCAAAAGTAAAAAACTAACAAAACTTTGACAAGTCTCAATCGTAAACAAAATTACTCAAGGCCAAGCACGACAAGACTTCCATGGAAAACACATGAACTTAAAACTAAATGAGAAAAAGAAAATGATGACAGAATGGCTATTGTTACTGAAGAAATAAATTATGTTGATTTAAAAGTAGTGAAGTCAAAGAAATAAAAGAAGAATCTAATCCCCCAAGAATGCTTATTCTGCATTATTAGTAGGAATGAAGAGCCTTCAGACTAAAGTGTATTATTTGAAACAACATTAGAAACTAATTACTTAGAGAAGAGAGGTGAAAATCATCTGGTCATGAGATATAGGAAGAAGTAAATGGATTGGTGCTGAAATTACAAATACCAAAAGATTGCTTGAAATTAATCCACATCAACAAAATGTGGTCTTGTGATGTTTGATAACGTAAGTACTTTGTGTGCATCCGATGGTGGACATACATTTGTAACAGTTTCTTTGATTTTAGGATTATGGAGGAACGTGTAATAGCTATTTTACTCCAATGATGAAGATTATGTAGACAATATGGATAATGTTAAGTGAATAGCCACTACTCAGCTGTTTATTTTGGCTATCGAAAATCATTACGTCACAACAATTTCATACTCCTCACCCCACCCACAAGATATATCCCGCATAAAAAATCCAAATAATTTTAAGATAAATTAGTTTAAGAACCTAGATATTAAAACTTAGTGTTTAGTTCATACTGTTGTAATAGGTTATATTAAGTAATTAGATTCTAATGTTGTTTCAACTGTTATAAGTAATACATTTTAGTCTGAAGGCTCTTCATTCCTACTATTAATGCAGAATAAGCATACTTGGGGGATTAGATTCTTCTTTTATTTCCTTGACTTTGACTACTTTTAAATTAACATAATTTATTTCTTCAGTAACAATAGCCATTCTGTCATCATTTTCTTTTTCTCATTTAGTTTTAAGTTCATGTGTTTTTCATGAAAGTCTTGTCGTGCTAGGCATTGAGTAATTTTGTTTCCGATTGAGACTTGTCAAAGTTTTGTTAGTTTTTTACTTTTGACTTTTCAATATTTGTTAATTCTGTGTTTAGAGTATTCAAGTTTTCTCATATCCAACCCTCTTTTATCAAATTTTCAAATTATGAATAGCAACAAAAATATCACTTTATTAGAGAACTGGTTCAGTAGCACTCTGAAAAGGGTACACTCTATATGAAAGTTGAGGATAAACTTGAATTTTATCTTAAGTTATGATTCAGTTACAATTTCTAGGAACTTGGTACACAGTATCCATTAAAGTTATTGGTTTCACTGGATCATCAGCAAGCTTTATTAATTCAATATGATTATTGTCAAGTAGATAATTAGCTAATACATTACAAGTGAAATTTAATAAATACGGATTAAACGATCTAGAGTTTCATAAGCAGTGATATCATGTTCTGTACCAAAAGGTTTGCCAGTTATAATAATAGTAGATTTTCTCGTATTTCCTGTTATTAATCTATTCATTATTAATTGAAGAACTTTATTAGCCGTGAATTTCTCAACTAAAAGTGTTCTTAAAACCTCTCTACTTACAAAGCTTACTATTGAATACAACTATCTGTCATGGTTTACTTAAATGCATTTCAAAATAGGAGCTTTTATGTTTTTATGTAACTTTGTATTAATTCCAGGCATTTTCAATAGCTTTAAGTAATTGTCCAATACAGTTCCAATAGTAACTGATCTTGTCATTTTATTGACACATATTGTCAATATTTCCGTTAAGTTCATCTGTTTTGTCTTTGGAAATGAATAATTGCTCTTTAAATTTTAAATTACGTGCACCAATTCATCAACAGGTTTTTTTGGAGTTTGCTGTTGCTTCATATTGTTTTAAAAGCCTTATCTACTTCCGAAACATTTTTCTCATATAGAGGCTACACTTTTATATTGTTCTAAAATATTAGTACTTCCTTTTAGATATTCAACTTCAATGTGGTTTTTCCAAATCATTTCTGCTACTGGTTATATATTTTATAATAGAATCAAATTTTCTGACAGATTGCTTTATGGAAACAATTTTATTTTCTTAAATTTTTTTTTAAATTGTATAAATAACTTTTTTTATGTTCAATTTTTTGTATTTACATTTGACAATGTTTTTCTAACGGAATTAATTGATTTGAATGTAATTATGATTGCACTTACTAAAATATATTGTAATTTTCAGTTCTGGTTGATATTATGAAAATGTCTAAATTTGCCACAATGTAATTATATAATACTTATAACAAGCAAAAATTATTTAAATTATTTTCTTATATTTATTTTAAAATGAAAAAAACATCAGTATCTATTTGCCATTGTTTTTAGATTAAAAATATAACAATATATTTTATAGTATTTATAATTTATTTATTAATTTATAATGTAGACTAATAATTTGTTTACATTTATTGTGAATTGTGATCAAGTTTTAGTTATAAATAATTTTATTATTTAGATTATTTCAATTCACATTAATGAATATTAAATTATTCAATTTGATCAATAATTTATTTGGAAATAATTGCTCATTAAATATCTAAATTAAATAATATATTGATATCCGTCAATTAACTTTAAAATGCATATTAACTTTTCAACATATAAGTTCTTAAAATTGTGATAAATTTCTACCTAAATAATTGTTTATTCTAAAACAAATATGTAGAAGTATATTTGTATTAGTCCTGTGCTTACCAATATCTAAGACAAATAATTGATAGGTCATTAGAGTATGCAAAATAAAATTATAAGTTTAATTGTATCTTAGTCTAAATTTAGCTGATCTTGTTAAACAAACACATGAACTTATCGGGGCCCTTGTTCTAAAGTACCTTCTAGATTCTAGAAGCTAAAAAAATGTTTTTATGAATTACAATATGTTATAAAAACAATGATTAAACATTCCATGGTCATGTCTCATGGGTTCTATTTGTCTGTACAATTAATGATAGTCAATAAGTTAATAATTGCTTAATTCTATTTTGTATAAAAATAATTAAAATATCATAGGGCCGAGAGAATCATAACACTTTTATGCCCACAGTTTTTGTCTCAATTTGTTATTGCTATCTCCTCTGAAACTAATTCACCAATCTTCATGAGACAAAAAAAGTATAAATTCATTAATACCTGAAAGGTGCTTAAGACTATTTATGGTGTTTCTAGATGCTGTTTTTATGTAATTACCTATTATTAATTTTTGATCTTTACAATTAAAAAAGATGATGAGAAATTTAAACATCAAATGTTAAAATGTTATAATAATATTTTATTCAATTTCATATTTGTACATTTTTTATTTTAGTTGTTTTACCAAAAAAAAGTAAAATTAAAAAAAAGTTATGAATTAAAAGATTTAAGTAAAGTAAAAAATTGTGATAAATTGAAAAAATGTCAATTGCTAGCCATATAAAAGATCAAAATTAAAAAATGGAATTTTCCCTAAATATTAAGATATTTGCTTCGTATTTTCTATCTTTCTAGATAATGAATATTCCATAACATAAAATATTGTAAATATCTACACCTCTGTCACTAGTCATCAAGATTTGGTATATTATATAAAACGAAATACTGAGGATAAACAAAAATTACGGTTGAAAAAAAAAATGTATTGTTTCCATAATTGTTATTTATAATATTTATGCTGTTCAATCAATGTATACGAATTGGTAGTTCTTCTATTACAAGTACACAAAATATATTACCAAATTATAAAAACAATTTTGATTAGCATTACACTATCACATTAGTTAAGTTTCTGTCATCAAAAATTCTAGTTAGCCTACATTCCCAAATACTAACATTTATCTGAATCTTGATGAGTTGCTTTGAACCTATACTCTATTGAATTATAAAATAAATAAATAACGAAGGAAAACACATCGCCTTTAGATCACTTTACATATAATGTAAATGCATTTATATTATATTTTCATATAGTTTACTAGCTGACCCGGCAATGTTTCGCTATTGCAAGATTTCTCAGATATTAAATTGCTATTTATTTTCTGGATGTTAAATAATTATTTTTATTTTAGACCACTTTTAGTCACGTCTCCGTGGTAATGTAGCCATATAAATTTAGCGCCGACACCGTGGATTCTTCATAATGTTTAAAAAAAATTATTTTGTATGTAGTGGTAAATGTATATGTATATTGTATGTATATTGTGTATGTACATTTTGTAGGTATAACTATGGATGGAACAAGAGATATGAATTATGCCAGTATTTTCATAATTCAAAGACTTGTTCTAATGATTTAGAAGATATATTTTGAATGTTTGGGTACACGTTTTGAATCAATTTTACTATGATGGGTACTGAATTACAGAAACTTTTAATATTTATTTTATCATTCGTTGCTTGAAATTGCAGTGAAATTGTTTTGACAATTCATCAGCTATTGCGAAACCTCATATTAAGCTGTTAATAGGTTTTTCAAAATAACGTACATTTTTTTACATTTCTCACCTAAAACAATATTTTTAGTGTTATTGGTATCCTAACAAATATTTATAATTTTAATAATGTTCAGTTCATCAATGTCTTCGAAACCTATGTAACAATCACTTTCTGATTCAATGCTTATTTTAATATCATTTTTAATAAATGTTTGAAATCGAGGTGCAGTATAGTGTTCAAGTAACGGCCACTATACTATGTACTTTTTTTATATACTATTTTTCCATTCAAATTTTCATTTAATTTAGATTCACTTAATGTTATAAATTCTTGATACCCGATAATTACTTGCTCCAATAAGGTTTCACATGTTTCCTAACCATTTTTTTTTTTAAATTTCATGTAATTTTCAAAAGGAAAACAAGAGCACTTAACTAGGGAACCAAATATAAACCTATTTTATAAGTGAATAGAATCATTCAATTTTTAATACTCTGGATATTAGGTTAGGTTTGAATGTAGGTACTAACAATGTATTTTAAATAAATTTGGTTTATTTTTATTTTGTATTATATAGCTGCTTGTGTTAATCCAGTAACACATATTAAATTATTTACTGTCGATAATAGTTATATGATTTTGACTGCCCACATTTCAACTGCTACCGACATTCAATTATCCTAAAACGCTATAAAGATTAGTGGACTTTTGTCGTATGCACTCTACTATTTATATCTCTATTACAGTGATTTAATGATAATAAAGATTCTTTTACTGCATTATATAATTTTTGACCGTGTATTTAATCATTGGTTGACAATTTTGAGCGCCACACGTGGTTTTATATTTTCATTTAGTAGGTATATCAAAATAATTTTACAATATAATACAAAACAAAGAATCTGTTTTTTTTTTAATCTCAAAATTTTATTTTTATTTTTTTAAAAATATATACAAAATTTGTTCCTTTAGGGAAAATAAGAATATGTGATATTAGAAAGTATTTACATGAAAATGTGATGGAAGGAGTCACCCAGTGGTTACACTACCCTTACTTGATAACTTTTTTTTCTTTAAATGAATAAAGTTACTTTAATTACTCATTGAGAAGATCTCTATATCATTTCCTTCTGAGGCTCCTGGGAGGGTTCCCAAGAATTGTGAAGGTGGCAAGGTTTGAAATGAGGGGGTTGGTATAAGAAGGGAGTTTTGAGTGGAAACATTTGTAAAAGGTTACTGCTTCTTCGTGGACTGTTTTAATTTTTAGATCGGTGTGTAAGGTTAGGTTTGAAATATAAGGAGGAGAATTTGTGATTTTGGAAGGTTTGAATTTTATTAGTGTTGGATTTTTTGGCGTTGCCCCAAAGTTGAAGACCACAGGTCCACATAGGCTTAAACAAGGATTTATAAATTAAGAGTTTAGTATTTAATGGAGTGTGTTTGTTTTTGGTAATTAGAGTTTTGAGGATGCGGAGACGTGCATTTAAGGCAAGCCTTTTAATTTGAATATGATGTGACCATGTGAGTCGACGATCAATTGTCAAACCTAAGTATTTAGCCGATTGAGAGGAAGGGATTTGAATATTGTCTAGAGATATCATAGGACAAAGAGGAAGAGTGAAGGTAGTACGAAGCGATTTGGATTGGTTAACTTTGATACGCCATTTTTTATACCAATTAGCCATGAGTCGAGGTAGAGTTGAAGATTGAGGGAAGCTATGTTAGGATTATCATGGATAGAAATAATAGCCTTGTCATCGGCAAACTCTGCAACAGTTGTGTACGGACTACGAAGAGGTGGGTTGGTCGGCAGCGTATATGTTGTATAACAGATGAGAAAGAATGCCCCCTGTGGAACACCTGCATTAATCTTTGCTAAGCCAGAAAAAGGTGTGCTGACTCTGACCTGAAAGTAACGATCTGAGAGGTAGGATTTGATTAATAAGTAATGAGTTGGGTGGAAAATTGGCTTTACTTTATATAGCAGTCCCTCATACCATACCTTATCGAATGCTTGGGATATGTCCAAGAAGACGCAGGAGCAATAACTTTTTTTTTTCAAGGGAGAATGAGATAGCATCGACTAGTCTGTGCAGTTGATGTATTGAGGAATGAGAGGAACGAAAACCAAATTAAGTATTTGGTAATATGGCACTGCCAGAAATTCTTTTAAAAATTAATCTTTCTATACATTTTTCTGAAGAAGGGGAGGAGACTTCTTGGTCGGTAGGAGGATATATCTGGAGGCTCATTAGATTTTGGAACTTAAATTGCTTCAGAGAGTTTCCATAACATGGGAAAATATGACAATCTTAGACACGCAGTATGTATAACTGTGAGAAGAACATTGGCTCTTTTAGGGATTGACATGGCCACAGAGCCTGATTTACCAAATATATGGCCCAGGACAAAATAAAAAATTGGGCCTATAAGGCTATAAATTATAACATAAATAAAGAATAAATATACACAAATACAATATGAATATCAAAATTATACTTAATTCTTTAAAGCACTTGTCAATAAATACAATTAAAAATTATAAAATACAATTATTTTAAATAAATTATTAAAAAATTTTTTTTCTGGTCTTTTGTTTGGAAAATACATCTATAATTTCATCAAAATCAATACCTGCCGTGACATCGCTTTCTATTAAAAGTATTCCTAAGGCATCCAATTTTTCTTGACTCATTGATGACCTTAATCTATTTTTTATTCTTTTCAGAAATGAAAATGATCTTTCACTAGAACAATTAGTTATTGGCATTGTT